GGGAGAGGGAGAGGGAGGAGCAGGAAGTCAGGAAGGTCGACTGTGGGTGGATGGCTGCCTGCACATGCACACACATTTCTAGAGTTAGAAACGGTGATGCAATCTAGTAAAATGGTGATGAAGATCTTTTGTAATCATTCAATATGAAAATTTCCACTCTACAAGATGCAGACAGAATATTTCCTGCAAACACAGCCTAGATCCAGTCACCTGTTCTGGAGACTTGGCCGGTTCACTTTATTGATGTAGACACAGACAAAGCAATCAATAGCTCTGGAATAGTCACAGCGCTCCTAGATTCCCCTGCCATGCTTGCTGGGGTCATTAATGTCCCAGGAAAGTGTGGCCGATGTGGGAGGCAAGGTGACACTATGAAACACGTATTTCCTGTTCCAGGGCTCCAAGCTGAAGATGCGGAAGAACGGAAGTGTTTTCTGGAGGGTGAGAACCTGACCCTGACTTGTCCTTACAACATCATGCTGTACTCGTCCAGCCTGAAGGCCTGGCAGCGGGTTAGAAGCCTGGGTTCTCCAGAGACTCTGGTGCTCACAAACACCAGAAATGCAAACTTCAACGTGGCCCGGGCTGGGAGGTACGTGCTGGAAGATTATCCCATGGAATCCGTCGTCAAGGTCACAGTGACTGGGCTACAGAGGCAAGACGAGGGGCTGTACCAGTGTGTGGTCTACCTCTCTCCTGACAACGTTATCGTCCTCTATCAACGGATTCGGCTGGCATGGTGCCAAGGTGAGCTCCGGTGGAGGCGGAGTCTTTTCCTGCTCCATAGTGGGCGGGGCTCCCATCTTCTAGGAGGAGCTGCTTTAAGGAGGCAGCTCAGGGTAATGAGGAGAATTCCAGATCTTTCCTTCTTCCATAGTACGACGCCAAGAAAGTCACATTCTCTGTGCCTTAGGTTTTTTTTTTTTGGGACGTTGGATGTCTTGAACTCAAAAGCCTTCTACTTCCACTTGATGAAATCTGCTAGAGAAGCTGGTGACTGGCCGCCTGCCGTGAGCCACGCCTACAGCTGCTTGCTTGTCCCACTGCCTCCCTGTGTCAGGAGGACTCAGGAATGTAGTCATTCACTGTGCTCTCCTGCAGATCATCTGCTAGCACCCCACAGGCCCACCCCTCTCAAAAGTCCCTGGGACAACTCTGAAATGGCCTAGTTTGAACAATATGATACTACCTGCTTGTTAAATTTTTAGGCTTTTTTATTAGCCAAAGATATTATTATATTTTATTTTTTCTTTAAAGCAATATATGTATGTATATATATACATATATATACATAATGTATATATACATACATACACACACACACACATATATATATATATATATATATATATATATATATATATAATATATATATTAAACTCAATATAATAAAATGAAGAAGAACTATATCTAACTTGGTCATGGCAATCCAATCGGAGGAAAAGAGTCCGTGGAAACCTCTATATAGTTTCAAGCCGTTGGCCTTTTGTTGGGCAGTCTCTCAGCTAGCTATGTAACTTAACCTTGGCTTCTCTGCCATCCTGCCATCCTGTGTGCCCCTCACTGTCTGCTTACAGGTCCATTCCTTCTTCATTGTGCTTCTCCTGCATCTGCTTCACCTGCTTGCAGCTCCTGTATCTCTTCTCTCTCTGCCCTGAAGTCCCACCCCCATACTTCCTGCCCCAGGACCAACCAGTCTGAACCAATCAATAGCAAGACGATGCCCATTCATGTCTTAGGTTGCCTTTAGGCAATGAGGGCTCCCTGACCTCCATCTTTTGGGCTGGTGAGGAAGGACAAGCATTTACCATACAGAAAATCCGTAACGTGCCATAGATAGGACAGTACCAAAATCCTGCCAGACTTAGCTCTCTGCTGCTACAGATTTAACAACTGAAAACACAGGAACACACCTTCACACAGTGTAAGAGAAGTTCACTCCAACAATTTCCACAGTCAAGAGTCCCATAAAAACACTAAGCTAACAGCTATACTATATACGCAGAGAACCTTGTATAGACCCTGCAGGCCTGTGCCTGCTGCTTCACTCTCCTTGCTTAGTTAATCCAAAGAGCTGTGTCCTCATGGTGTCCTCCATCCCCTCTGGCTCTTACAATCTTTCCGTCTCTTCTTCTGAAGGATTCCCTGAGCTCAGAGGGGAGGGATTTGATGGAAACCTTCAGTTTAGACTCTTTCTTTCCATAATGTCTGGCTGTGGTCTCTGATCTGTCTCCATCAGTTGCCAGAGGCAGCCTCTCTGATGACAGCTGGACAGGGCACTGATCTATGAGCAGAACTGAATGTCTTTAGGAATCATTTTATTGATTATTTTTTTGAGATTAGTTATTGGTTTTACCCTAGGTCTCTGGGCTGTCTAGTCTCTGGTTCTTGGTCACCCACTGCTTGAGTGTGGGTTCCGTCTCTTGGAGTGGGCTTTAGTTCAGCCAGACATTGGTCGGCCACTCCCACAAGTTCTGTGCCACCATTGCCCTAACCTGTATTACAAGTAGGACAGACTGTAGGTCAGAGGTTTTGTGGCTGGGTATGTGTCCACATTTCTCCTTCAGTAGCCTGCAGAGTACCTTCCTGAACCAAAGACACTAGAATCTAGGAGTGAGGTCTCCATGTAGTCACCAGGTCGTCTGTATTGTGTGGATGCTGTCCTCAGTAACAGGGCCCTGATATCAATTTGCAGAGAACAACCTTTTGTCTGGGTTGTGTGGAGATTTCCATGGAAACCCCTTGATCAAAAACAGTTCAATTGAATATAACCTAATCCCACTACTGGAAGCCTTGCCCAGCAATAAAAGATGGCCAGTTCATTTAATTTTTAAAATGCATACATGTATGTATGTATGTATGTATGTATGTATGTATATAAGTGTTTTGTCTGCATTTATGTCCATATACCATGTGTGTGCAGTACCCCAGGGAGTTAGATAGTTATGGCCTGCCATGTTAGTTCTCTTCACGAGCAGCCAGTGTTATTAACACTGAGCATGTCTTCGGCCTCTCTCAGGGAGTCCACAAGAGCAGGTAAGAAGATCGGACACTGAAGAGCAGAAGTTCACTGCTCTTCAAGTGTTCCTCGTTGGTGACGTCACTGCTGGCCCTTCCTCCTTGTTAAAAAGCCTGGATATCCATGTGAGGAGGTGGCTTGTGGAATGTGGGTCCTGATACCTTGGCTTCAGTGTCCTCAGTAAACCTCCCTGTGGGAGCTGTGAGTACCGGAAGTACCTGCCACCACAGGGCTTATCTCAACGTGTGACCATCCCACGGGACAGGCTCAGGCTTGAATCGAATCACATGGAGTCTGTAGGTAGAGATAGGGCTGGGATGGAGCTCAGTGATAAGAGTGTTTGCCTAGCAAGTGTGAGGTCCTAAATTCAATTTACAGCACTGGAAAAAAAGAAAAGAAAAACAAACATTAGAACCACCTCTGGGCTGAGGAGATAACTAAGTCTGTGAAGAGTATGAGGTGCCGAGTTCAATCCCCAGGACCTCGTAGAGAGCTGGGCACCGACGCATTTGCTTGTAGTCCCAGTGCTGGAGAGAAGAGACAGGAGGATCCCCAAGGCTCTCTGGCTAAGCAGCCTAGCCTAATTAGTGGGGTCCAAGTCCCAAAGAGAGACTTTGTTCCCAAAAGTGGGGGAGAAGCCAAAACAAACAAGGCAGAGGGTTAATGTGTTGGTGTCGGCTTTAAAGTCAATGCCGGAGAGGAAGAAGCAGGGGGATCTCTTATTTGAGAGCAGCCTATACGGCAGTCTATACAAGTTCCAGGCCAGCCAGGGCTACTTAGTGAGGCCATGTCTCAAAACAAAACACAACGCAGAGAGCTTGAGGAACTCTGAGGGTGACCTCTACTGCTCGGTCCCCTCACGCCAATATGCACAAAAGAAGCAACCCAGCGAAAAGACCACACGGAGACAGCGTGGCAAGCTCTACTGATCGAAACGTAGGAGAATCACGTGACACCCGGGATGGCGAGGCTGGCTCACCTGTGCAGTTTAGCAGCTCCCCAGCCATCAGCGCAGGTCATTAACCTGGACCCACTCCTTGACAGAGCAAAGTACCACCTCAGGGACTAGAAGATTCTAGATCTTTGCTTGCTTTCTGCCCTGAACCTGCTCAGTCATCTTGGAAAAGTCCCTTACCTTCTCTGGTGATCAGTAAGCTCTTGTCTGTCTGGCTCCCGCATTATGGCATTTGATAGCTGCCAGGTTTTGGCTTCTTCTTATGTGTATTGATCACAGGGAGCTAAAAGTCTCATTTGTCACTTGGTCAAATTAGCCATCCTTTTGCTGAAGTCCTAGTTACAAAACTACAAGAAAAGTCACTGAGAATGCCCGAGTCCACCATCTTGCCTGAGAGCTGCACAGAGCTCAGTAGAGACGAACAATTGTCAGATGCAAACCAGGCTTCCTTTGCCTTCTCTCCAGGGATGAGAGAAACCTTAAACTAAGATGGCAGAGGAGTGGCGTCTGGCACAGGTTTTCTCTGCCTGGAGGGATGGCAGGAGAACTAGGAAATAACCCTCCACAGGGTGTGCTGCTGTGGTGACCAGCGTGATCTGGAGGGGACAGTGCAGGCAGCTGGGTGCAGTTCTTTGTTTTATTTTTCGTTTCAGCTGGGTTGGGAGCAAGTCTTTCTTCTCCCCGCCCCTCCCTTCCTCTTCATCTGCTCTCCCTTCTTCCCTTGTCGTAAAAAAATATTTTTAAAAAATCTCTGTGTGGGATTTCTTCCTGCCTTAGGCCATTTATATTCCTGGATGAAAGACACACACACATGAACGTACGCATGCACGCACGCACGCACACCACTTTCTATCCACAGCCCCATTATTACTTTCTGTTTCATCCGGGCTGCTCCTAGTTCCAACTGAACAGCCCACGTGGCCATGCTTTATGGCTCAGCTAACCCATGGCAGCTACTCCCTCCACTTCCGCACACTCTTCGAACCAATGGCAGCGTCTTGTCTTCTCCCCTGCACATTCTTCTATCCCATGGGCACTCTCTCTCCTCCCCATCTCCTCCCTCTAAGCCCATGAAAACTCAACCCTACCCACCTCTCTTCAGCCCAGTCATTGGCTGCCGGCATTTTATTCACCAATCAGAATTAACTTGGGGGCAGGGTTCCAGAGGCTAGACTCTAGATCTTGGAGGCCAGCACTTAGCATTCCTGACTTGACTTCCTGCCTGATCTCCTTATATGATGGAGTATGACCTGGAAGTATAAGATGGAATAAAACCTTTCCTCCCCAAGTTGCTTTTGGTCATTATCCTAGTTAGGGTTCTTATTGCTGTGATGAAACACCATGACCAAAGCAAGTTGGGGAAGAAAGGGTTTATTTGGCTTACCCTTCCACATAGTAGTTCATTACTGATGGACGTCAGGACAGGAACTCTAACAGGACAGGAACCTGGAGGCAGGAGCTGATGCAGAGGCCATGGAGGATGCTGCTTCTTGACCCCTTGTCAGCTTGACACACAAATGCATCACTGTTAAGTCACAACCTTTCCTTTCTTTTTCTCCCAAAGAGTACACATTAATATCAACATTACAACATAAGCATTATAAATTTTAAAAGTCCCATGGTCTCTAAAAATTCAAAGACTTAAAAAGTCAGTCTCTTTAAAATAGCTAGTCATGTTTAAAATACAAGGCCTTTTAAAATTCAAAGTCTCTTAACTGTGGTCTCCTGGAATAATACAAAAAATAAGTTAAACTCTTACTTCAAGAAGGTAGAACCAGGGTACAGTCACAATCAAACCATAGCAAAGCCAAACTCTACTGTGTAAACAACTCAGTACACAATTATCAACCATTTGGGATTCACTTGTGCTCTTTTGGGGCTCTCCAAGGGGTTTGGGTCACTTCTCCAGCTCTGTCCTCTGCAGCCTATACAGCTGGTCTTCCAGGCTCTGTCTGGTTCCATCCTGCTCCTATTCCTATTCTTGGTAGTCATCCCATGGTACTGGCATCTCCAAAACTGTTGGTGTGTCATGCTGCAACTAGGCTAGAATTTTCACCAGTAGCATCTCTTGGGCTTTCTTCAGAGACACAGTGCCAAACCTTTCCTGCTGTCTATGACCCCTTCATGCCTTCAAAACCAATACACGTGGATGACTCTTATACTACCAAATTCAGCTTCCAGCATGAAGACAACCTTGGTAGCTTCTGAAACACAGCTTCTGTGTGATGATCCTGAAGAGACTTCAGAAGGTTTCACTTCAGTGATGCTGGTTTCTTCTTAGTCATGACTGATTCTTCAGCCCCAGATGATCAGCATTCATTTTCCAAGAAAAGCAAAGGGTTACTTTAGTGGTCCTGGTCTCTTGTTAATCCCAGCTTATTCTTCAGTCTCAACTAACCAGAACCACAGAATCTTCACACAAAAAGCCCAGAAGAGTCTTGCCTCCCCCCAAAACTTCACAGATTTATCTTTTACACTGCTTTCAACATTTGTATCTTCCAAGCTCCTACAGAACATACCACTGAGTTCCCAACAGTCATTGGGTTTTCTAGTCCAGGGTTCCAGAGTCTTTTCACATCTTTCCCTACACATCCTGGTCAGGTCTGTCACAGTGTTACCTCACTCCTGGTACTAACTTGTCTTAATCACCACTAATTTCTACTAGCCAGCACAGTCATAGTTTTTACCAAAGCAATAAAAACCTACCTAGGACTGTCACTATGGACCAGAGACACCCTCAGCAGGAGGGATTGTGACCAGGGCAGGCAGGTAGATTGGGTATGATGGATTGGGTGGGAGATGTGCTGAGTGTTGGCCAGGCTCTTAGGTGGGACTCTGGAGTGTGATGACAGCACCATGTCATGAGTAGAACTTAGGTGTGGGGTTAGGAGACTGGGGCACAGTGCTGGCCCTGATACTGACCAGTGTCAGACTTGGATGTTTCTGATCTATTGTGTTGCTTGGGATGCTAGCTGGAAAGTGAATATCCCTTCTTTGACCTTCTAGGGCCCAGCAAACCTTCCTTCCTCAGACAGATAGTCTTATGATAATGGTCTGGAAAGAGAGTTGCCTAGCTTACAGCAAAATTCCATATACCTTCAGGTTTCTTGTTGGCTCAGGTTAAGCCAGTTAGGTTGGGTAAAGAGCCTCACAAGCACAGGGCACACTGTCCGACTTTATCAACAATATTTGGGCACCCAGTGGGAGTCATGTCTCTGATAACCTCCCCAAAGAGTCTTTATCTCTTTTCAGATCATAGTATTTGCCAATAGCACTGTGGGAAGGATTAGGAACCAGACATTTTGAAGGCAGTGGAAGAGTTGGAGAGTAAAGAAGGGAGAGACATTAGTGTCAGGTGAAATGTGAGAGACTGGTGGAGATGCCAGCAACTAGTAACCATGTTCAGAAAGCATACAGTGGGGTGGGGATGGGGGTAGAAGAGACAGAAAACCAGTTTGTTCTCTGACATGAGGATCATAGGAAACATTGAAGCCTTCTCTTTCAAGGGTATGCAACCTCTTGACTGCTCTCAGGGTGCAAGGCAGTAGCAGGTCCAACCACAGAGCCCTGAAGGCAGATAATCCATGTCCACTTAGACTTAGTATGCCATTCCTAGAGTACCCACACTTGCCTTTGATCTCACAGAGCAGCCAGTGATGGTGATCGTTCTGACATGTGGCTTCATACTGAACAAATGCCTGGTATTCTCAATCCTGTTTGTCCTTCTCTGCAAAGCTGGGCCTAAGGTAAGTGGGACAGGCCAGGGTGAGGTGGATCAGAATGGTCTCAAAGGTGTCTCAGAAACTGTTCCCTGAATGTCCTTTTCAGAGGGCGTCTGTGGTCAAAGGGTAAGGCCAGCCCTAGGCATAATACAAGGCACTAGCAAAGATCCTGGGAGCAATGTGCTTAGTGGGTTTCCCTTGGCTAGGAAGACGCAAGTATGGGGGCAGGCATGGTGGGGACAGCAGGGTGGGGACAGCAGGGTGGGTTATCTGCCCTTTCCTTCAGAGCAGAAAGGCTTGATTCAAGCCTGGGCCTTCTGGGCTAGTCATATATTTTTTAGTTTAGTTTGTTTGTTTGTTTGTTTGAGGGTCTCACTATGTAGCCCAAGCTGCCCTGGAACTCACAGAGATCCATCTGCCTCTGCCTACTGAAGACTGGCATTAAAGGTGTGCACCATCATGCCTGCAATTGAGCTGATACTTTCTAAAGCTTGTCTATTCCTTTTCCTGCACAGGTGTTACAGCCTTCCAAGACATCCAAAGTACAGGGAGTCTCTGAGAAACAGTAGCCTTCCTGCTACAAGCTGTCAGCACGCCTTCCTTTGTCTTAACAGCATAACAGATGTTCTGTATTGGGGACAATCTGAGCCTTCCTACACTCTGTAAACTCTAATTAGTACACGTTACTCCTAGAGGACAGATCTGAGGAGAGTTGTGTAGAAGGATACTCATGAGACATCAGTGAAGAATGTGATAATAAAGAATGTGGTTTTTTCATGCAGTTTTACTGTTCCTGTATCCCTCCTGTGATGGTGAATGCCAATTGTCACATGATGCAATATAAAATCTCATAGAAGACATATCTGTGAGGGATTGTCTAGATCTATATGTTAGGTCCTGAGAGTGTCTATGAAAGATTATCAAGTCTATGTTAATTGATGCAGCACCAGAGAGTGGGGTACTGCAGTAACAGACCTGACTATCATGTTTTTTTGGAAGAATATGGAAGATTTCCAACTTGAAAAGCAGTTGGACACTTTAAGTGTGGCTTAATGGGACATTCTAGTTAGAGTGTTGAGACAATGTTGAGGGTAATTGGAACTGTGGGGCAAAGATCAAAAGGTTTCAAAGAGGAAGAATGTACACAAATGACCTAGAGACTTTATTATGATGTTTTGGCAAAGAATGTGGCTGTTTTCCTTTGTTCAAAAAATCTGCCTGGGGCTAAATTAAAGGGCATTAGATTAATGGTGTTGGCAGAGGAGATTTCAAGACAGCCTAATATCAACTGCATAGTGTGGTTATTAGTGGTCACTCTTGTGCAGATCTATAATGAAAAGTGAGGGCTGTAGATCATGAGAGGAAGCCTGGTAAGGTTGAGCCAAAGGCTTGAAGCCCCAGAGACCCTGAAGGGATGGGAGGAACTTCACCTGCTCCCGGCACCAGGCCCATGTCACACAGCTGCAGCCCTCTCCCCCATAGAGAGATTTGTGGCCATTAACCACAATGCCCCAAGCCTTTGAATCATCCTTAACATCTCAGACCAAGACAATAGGAAAAGAGACCACAGTCAAATAGGCTCAAAACAGAGTTCTCCATGCTAATGAGGTACCTAGTGATCTGGAGAGCATTGCCAATAAGCTTCCTTTCCCAGACATTCCTCTCTGCAAAAGGTATTTAATCTCAGACCCACCCTGAGAAGTGAGGTATGGTTTTATTTATCCATTTTCTGCCATGACAATAAACTGTTTGGAAGCATGGAGTGGCTCTTCTCTGTGCTTCCAGCCACAAGTGCCACCAAGCCCGCATCTGCCAAGCCAAGGACAATCACCACTGGAACTAGCTGAAGCTCTCCTCTCCTCCCTTAAATTGCTTTTGTTGGTGCATTTTATTTCAGAAATGAAAAGAGGCTTTAAAAACCTTCTCTCCCGGCCTTTTCCCATGCGCAGGCCTTCTTCCCTTTATAGCACCCTGTCCCTCCAGAACAGCATATTTGCTACACTGGGTGAGCTCATGCAGAGATGGCACTATCATCTCAGACTAGCTTCTGTAGGATCTACAGTTGGTGTCTTGCACTCTCTGGGTACTGACAAATGTGTAATGATGCATTTCAATTTTCTATCACGAAGAAAAGAATATTTTCCTAAATATCTGTGTAGTGACTAAAACAAAAAGACTTGTTTTTATTTATGAGTAAGTGTATGTGTCTCTGTGTGGATCTATACATGTGGAAACCAGAGGAGGCCAGAAGATAGCATCAGATCCCTTGGAACTGGGGTAACAGGTGGTTGTTAGCCTCCTGACATGCTTGTTGGGAGCCAAACCTGGTTCTCTCCAAAAACAACACATGCTTTTTCTTAACTGCTTTGGTCTCTTGTGTGACAACTTTCGAAAGAAATAAAACTTGATTCCAATACTACTTTCAGTTCAGTAATTCAGGGAAGATAAGATTGAATTTACAATTAAAGCTTTGGGCTGGGGTTATAGCTTGGCAGTAGATAGAGCCCTTCCTTGCCTACCATGTACAAGGCCCAAGGTTTGATTTTCAGCACTACAAGCCAAACAAAACAAATTAAGTTTATATCCCAAACTTCTGGGTCTTAGTCCCTCATAAGTACAAGTGGGGCAGTTGGCATTTTTTTATTCTTTGCTTTGCCATTTCCACATCTCAACTATAGCATAGGAGATCCCTAGGGTCCCTGCGAGTGGAGCAGATGCATGAAGACAAATAAGAATTTAGGTGTTCTGATGGCCATGGCATCCCAGCTTGTATCTTGGGCTCACCAATGAAAGCTGAGGTTTCCTTGATGGTATGCATATGCCTTCCCTAACTGGTTACTACTGATTGTTGACTCCACTTTCAGTCTCTCAGCTCTTGACAGTTGTCCTGGTTATCTTTAACTATCAACTCAAAATGGCCTGGAGTCATAGAAAGGGCAGCCTTGTCTGAGAAACTGCCAGAATCAAGTTGACCTGTGAGTATTGCCTTGGCTATTACTTGATATAGGAAGATCTAGTCCACTGTGGGTGGCATCATTCCCTAGGAAGTGATTTCTGAACAGGATAAAAATAGAGAGAAAAAGATGAACACAGGCAAGCAATGATGCTTCTATTCTCTCTCTGCTCCTGATTGCAGATGTGACATGACTAGAGGCTTTAGTGCCTGCCTTTGCTTCTCCAGTTGATAGAATGTAACTTAGAAATGTCAACAAAATAGAGCCTTTCTCCCATAAGTTGCTTTTGATCAAGGTATTCTAGCTCAGAGACATAGATGAACCTAGAGCACTTCCCAATCAGCAAACTTTCAGCACAGCTCTGACTCCATAATTAAGGTACAGGAGATGTCTTTCTCCTCACTCATTTTACACCAGGTTTAAGTCCCACATAAGTGTTTAATGGTTGGAGCCCTAACTACCAGAATGTCCTGGAACTAACCCTGACTCTCCTGCCTCTGCCTGTCATGATCAAGTAGGACTGAGAAACATCAGGGAGACTAGGAATGCACAGATCCAGGTGTGTGTGAGGAAATTCTTGAGGCTATTAGATCACAAAGGCTGTGACTTAAAAGGTTTAATACACTGACAGACAGCCCCCAACACAAGCAGCAGGTGCTATGTTCCTTCTCCTTTAGAAAAGAGTATGTATTGGAAAAGAGTAAATGTTCCAGACATATCCTAGCACTTCGAAACTGCTGTAACATACTTAGACTGGCTACTTTATAAATAAATTCATTTAGTTAGTTCTTGAGGCTTAGAAGATGGCATCTGAGTTAGTTTTTTTTTTTGGCACTGTAATAAAATACCCAAGTCAGTTACTTTATAAAGAAAAGAGGTTTGTTTAACAAACACATATGAAAGTGCAAAGGCATGAGCTCAGGTTAGCTCTTGTTACAGCCTCAAATTCGATGGCATCAAATCTTAAGAGTCAATTATGGGAGTGAGGAGAGAGAGAGAGAGAGACAGAGACAAACAGAGACAGAGACAGAGTGGTAACTCAAGGCATGTCAGTTGTTCTAAGGACTCCCCTAGCCTGCTTCTTAAAGGCCTTACATTACCTTACACTACTCTGGGAACTGAGCTTCTGATCCACCCATTTTAAGAGCAAATGGAAACCATATACAAACCACAGCAGGACCGAGCCTCAGACAGAGTCTCAGACTGTCTCTTGCTCTGTTTTGCAAAGGCTCCAACTTCATTCATAAGCATGGAACCCGTGTGACCTGTCAACTCCTCAGAGGCCCTACCTCTGTTGGAGTTGAGTTTTATCATATGACTTTGGGAGATACAGGCCTTCAGTCCTCCCAACCCCCATTATAGTCATGGAATCCTTGCTTCCGGGAAGCATTGTTCTTCTCCACTTGTTGATCTACTTCATTAAACCCAGACTTGTGGGCATTTTATATGTTGAATATAGACATTTTATTGCTACGCTGTCCCAGCCTGGGTCACCCTTTCTTGCAGACATTTTTGCATGTGAGATATTAACATGAGATAATTTTTCTTATCTTTTCACTCCCCCACTCATGTGTCCCTTCAACATGGTCATGAATTCCCCTGCTTCCTTTCTCACCCCTGAAAGGCCCCTCCCTCTTGGCTTCCCTTCTGACAGTTCTTCCTCATTGTTCTTTAGCTCCCAGTAGCCCCCCTCCTCTTTTCCAGGGACCATCCTTACAGTCTGGCATTGGAGTCTGCTGGCTCACAAACCTTCCAGGATGACTGCACACTGGAGGTGAAGGCCCTGACTTATCTTAGGGATGGGGATTCCCAGGACTCTGGCCACGCCTCTAGGGACCTTTAACCTTTCTCAGGGAAAAACAAAAGAGGAACGGGACTCTTACTTCTCATATTTTTTTTCTAGAGTGTTTTTTTTTTGTAGCAACAATGGAGAAATGTGATTGGTACATGGTGTGGAGTGGCTGAGATGGGGAGAGGATGAGCAGGGGTGAAGTGTGAGGGCCAGAGATGGACCCTGCAGCTTGCAGTCTCTGGTGCAGGCCTGGCTACTGTTCCTCTCATGGGTCCATAGGCCCGCCTTCCCAGGCTGCCCACTTCCCCAACCAAAGCTCTGATCTTCCTTGGTTCTTACATCTCACAGATGCTGAGTCTTAGGGGAAGACTCTTGCTAGTTCAGAGGCCTCCTCTTTTTCTCCTCTCTTCCATTGCAGAGTCTGGACTGGTATGGCCCGGAGGTGCTCAGATCTGCTATGTGCTCCTGTGCTGCTGGTGCTCCTGGCCTCAGGTGAGATGATTCAGGGCACAAGGGGTTGAGAGGTGGGATAATAGGACAAGGGCTGGGCAGGAAGCAGGTTGACCCTGTGACCAGGGCTGGCTTTGGGGCTGTGTTCTGTGTTTGGGTGTTGGAAGTCATTGTCTTGGCTTCCTCAGCCCAAGAAACAAATGTATACAGCTGGAACTCTGACCTCTGACCTGACGGTTTGTCATCCAGATGTCTGGGCATCCACAGTCACATCTGAAGAGCTTCATGGAATGGTAGGACAGAGCCTGTCTGTGCAGTGCAAGTACACGTCTGAGGAAGGGCCTTATGTGCTGAAAATGTGGTGTCGGCAGACATCCCCAAATAGATGTAGTAGAGTGGTCACTACCTCCGAGCCTCGGAAAGCAGTCAGGAAATTACAGCACAGCATCTGGGATGATCCTGAAGCTGGCCTCTTCAACATCACCATGACTCAGCTAACAGAGGAGGACTCGGCGTTCTACTGGTGTGGTCTGTATAGTGCTTCCCGCAGAGAAGTAACCGTCCTCAGAAACATCAGCCTGGTAGTGTCTCCGGGTAAGCCCTTTCTTGGAGATTCAACCCCCTTCTAGGGACCAAGCACAATATACATCCCTGATCCCTTCCTTCTCTTTGTGACCCCTAATCTTGACACCTGATTTGACTGAGGAGAGACAGCTTTCAATCTCTGTCACGCCTGGCTCTGCGTTGAGAAAGAATGTTTAAGTTTCATGGGGTAGGCACCTGGAGTCTCTCTCCGATTCTTATTTAGTTTATACTAGCAACTTTAATCCCAACATTTGTGAGGCAGAGGCAAGTGGATATGAGTTTGAGGCCAGCCTAGTCTAAATAGTGAGGTCCAGGCCACCCAGAACTACATAGTGAGACTCTGTCTCAAAAAAAAAAATGTTGGAATGTTTTTATTTTAAATTATGTGCACATGCCACATGTGTACCAGTGCCCATGAAAACCAAAGACTAGGATCCCCTTGCAGCTAGAGTCACACGCTGCTGTGAACCACTCAGTGTGGATGCTGGAAACCAAACTCAGATCCTCTGCAAGAGCCTTCTGTGTGCTCAATGGCTGAGCTATCTCTCCAGCCCTCCTACCCACTTTCTTACTTAGGCAGACCTGAGGTACAAATTCCTACTGGCCCAAGGGCCCCTGGGGTCTTGCTTGCCAGGGGCCAAGCCTGGCATGGTCCTGTTTTGTTCTCGTTTCTCCTTGAAGCAGCAGAGGGGAAAGAGCGTGGGCAAAGGATAAGACTTTTGTCTTACGAGATATTTAGAGTTTTGCTGTATAGTAATAAAAAGTTTACTTATCTAAGTCTAACTTGCTTTGCTACTGTAGCTGACCTGCCTTCTGTGTCCTCTGAGGCCAGGAACTGCAGTCTCTGGCATTTAGCACCTCACCCTAAAACAGCAGGAGATTAAGTAAAGGATTAATTGCTAGAGACTTCTCCCTTTTTCCAGATGCCTCTCGTTTGTCAGGCTAGGGGGAAGTTTGGAGAAAGAAACTTGAACCAGGAGAAGAGAATCATGCTCACTGAAGGAAAAACTTTTACATAAGAAAATACGCATAAACTCGAATAAAATCATTCAGATTCACACATGCATATTTATACGTTTACATTCAAATCGGTTGGGTCCAGATTTCATACATTCTCACAATTACATACTTACACACAACCACACTTACACATGCATTTGGAGCAAAAGACCAAGCATCAGTGCAGAGAGAACTCAGTCATTCTGGGTGACAAATGAGCTCCAATCTTTACTGCATAGAGAAAGAAAAGGCTTCTACCCCTTGGATGCTAAATGAATTAAACCCACGTTTTAAAGAAGAAAGTTTTGTTCCTTTCATAAGACTAAGCCTCACTGTTCTGTCCCATGGTAAGGAGAAGCCTACCTGCCCTTCTGCTCTCTGCAGCTTCTTCTTTTTTTTCCTCTTTTCTTCTGCATTCTGCACATTGCCCTCTTAGTTTTTTATGTTACCTATAGTCTCTAAATTATTGCACTCTGTGCTCTCCTTTTAATCTTGCTCTCTCCTCCTGCTCTGATGTCACAATAATGCCCTTACTCTCAATGCCTTTTCTCCAATGCTATGCCTTTACTTCAAGTTCTTATGGAGTTCAGTTCTGTCTAAAAAATTCTCTTGTGTGTTGACTAAAAATTTGTCCTCCGTTCTGTTCTAAATCAGTTCTGTTCAGATCATGTCTAAAAAAAATGTTCTGTCTAAAAGTTCTCCTCAGCTCAGCTCTGACTCTTCTCTTTGTCCTCAGCACTTAGGTGTCTTTCAGAATACATGATCACATGGTAAAAAGTTCATCACAAGTTTACACATAAGTTCAAATAGAAGTTCACAACAGAGAATGTTTACATGCAAATCCATTAGGAGTAATTATCTGGCTAAACACCTGACACAACTCCACAGGTTCATAGAGAATTAAAACCCATAACTAAGTTAGTTGCTCGTAAAGTTTTATATAGATAAACCCAGTCACTATTTTATCTTCTCCCCTATTACCTATAATAAATCATTAACTCCTTTTTTATAACCTTTGACTAATGGTTTTACAACCTCTTGAAATGTGCTCTGAGTAGTAGAATGTCTGTAGCAATTAACTGTCGATACTAAAGACTGGCAGAGTTCTCATTGCAGTTTTGGCTATCAGAAAGGAGTTAATAGTGTTATTAAAACAGCTTAATAATTATTATGAATTAAGGAATTCTTATAGGATCATCATTGAGTGTAAAGCAACCATCCAGTTTTCTATACAGCATTACTACAAGACAGTACACCTTTGTCATTCTGCAGAGATCGGCTCTAAAGGGTAGGCTAATATCTAGTGATTGTTATGTATGTGATAAGAACAGGAAAAGCACATTAACAGCAAGAATCTTTCCTAAAATGATTTTCTCCTGGGCCTTGCCTACTGAAGTTCCATCATAAATTTTAAACTAAGGTGGAGTCATCTCAGGAAGATCACCTGCTAGTCATTAGCTTGTTGTCTCTTGACATATGCTCTAAGCCCCCGGTTGGGGGTTGGACTTTATTTTCTCTTCAGGACCCCACACAGTCATCTTCTCCTTTTCTCTTATACCCTTGCCCACTCTTCCTTCATCTGGCTCCAAACAAAGATGAGTAGGTTATTGAGGAGGAAAGAGTGATGGTCAGGCAAGGGGAGGAGCCTGAGACTCAGTAGGGCCTTCCCCTTGGGTGGATACCCTAGAGACTAAGCAATGAGAAAGTTCCACTCAGGGCTTCAGATATAGAGAAATAAAGTGTGCTATCAGGTCTACCATAACCCACTTCCCACTGGGAGGCCAGATTTGATTTCTGCTATATACATAATGCTCCCCTGCCAATCTGAGCAGTTGTCAGAACCAAACCAAACAACATCCAAACCCTCAACATCACTGCCTACCAGGGAAACATGAATGAAAACCATTGTGAGATATCATATCACTCTGTAAAAATCACCCTTCCACAAAAGACAAACAATAAGAGGTGCTGGGGAAGACTCAGAGAAAGCCTTATGTGTAGCCATTTGTACATGTAAATTAGCACAGTTGTCATTGTGACAACAGCCTGGAACTACTACTATATGTCTTACCAGCCTATGGTCCCAGTTATTGGGAAGTGGAGATAGGTAGATCACAAGTTCACCATCTTGAGCTATGAAGTAAGTTTGAGTTCAGCCTGGGCTACAAGGAACCCTGACTTAAAAACAAAGTGCTAGCCAGTATGGTGGTGCAAGCCTTTAATCCCAGCACTCAGGAGGCAGAGGCAGATGGATCTCTGTGAGTCTGAGGCTACCTTGGTCTACCAAGGGAGTTCTGGGCAAGTCAGAGCTACACAGTGAGATCCTATCTCAAAACCACCAATCAACAATAACAAAGCGCTGATTTGATAGACATCGGACTAGATTGGTGGTTACCAGAAGCTGAGGGAGGAGCCAGGAAGACTGAGGGCGGGGCTTGGGTGAAGACTATTGAGTGACATGAAGGGGACAGAAATTCTAATACTGTGCTGCACAGACTTCAGATGACAATAATGTGCTATTTGCTTCTGATTATTAAAAATGTAGAATATTTATTTATCTTATTTTATACATATGCATGTTTTACCTGCATGTATAGCTGTGTAACACATATGTTTGGTGCCCATGGAGGTCAGAGGAGGATCTGAGTCCTCTGGAGCTGGAGTTATGGATGGTTGTGAGCCACTCTGTGGGTGCTGGGAATCAAAGGCTTGTCCTATATCTCCTATCCCCTATCAATCATCTATCTATCTATCTATCTATCTATCTATCTATCTATCTATCTATCATCTATCTATCATCTATCTATCTATCATCTATCTATCTATCTATCATCTATCTATCATCTATCTATCTATCATCTATCTATCTATCTATCTATCTATCTATCTATCATCTATCTATCATCTATCTATCTATCTATCATCTATCTATCTATCTATCTATCTATCATCTATCTATCATCTATCTATCTATCTATCTATCATCTATCTATCATCTATCTATCATCTATCTTATTGTCCCATATCTGCAAGAGCAGCTAGTGCTTTAACCATCTCTCTAGCCTCTGCCTACTTTTAAAAGACTACAAAAAAGGATTTTAAATGGTTTTACCATGAAGAAATTATAAATGTCAAGTACACAGCTAACTTCAATTTGAATGTCATTCCATATATACAACATATATTGAAACAGTAAATGGCGTAGCACAGATGTGTGAAATCCCCTTTTAAAATTTATAACTATATTAATGATGATAATAATAATTATTCTTACTATTGCTATTGCTATTATCATTGTGTGTACTAGGGCATGGGCCATAGTACACATGTGGGGATCAGAGGACAACTTTTGGGAGTTGCCTCTTTCCTTCCACTGTGGGTTCTAAGGCTCAAAGTCAGGTCATCAGATTATCTCAGCAGCCCATAAATACGTAAGTCTTAGGTTAAAGATTTTAGGTCCGGTCAACCCTGAGCCTCCTGCATCTTTCACAGATTAGTGTCCAGACTTCATTCTCCCGTTTATGCATAGTTATCTTGTCTTTTCTTCTCTAGCCTCATCAACTCTTCCTTCACAGACAATTTCTTGGCTCCCAGAAAGTACAGGTAGGTTTCCCAGGAGGACAGGGGGCTAGCCAGGCAGTTTAGGGAGGGTAAGGTTACGGGAAGCCTGCTTTAATGGTTGATGCCCTTACATATGTAAACACATTAAGTATAAAGATTTTAGGTGCAGGTAGCCCTGGCCTGAGGTGAGGTGTGCTCCTGTCTAACCCTTCTCTATTTTCTCTCATGCTCTCGGGACCCATTCTTGGTCTCCACCCTGGTCCTCTAAGCAGCCACCATCTTTTCGTCCTTCTTCGTTCTGACCACCTCTCCTGAGGAGATCACTGACCCTTCCGTCAATGAGGAGATCACTGACCTTTCCGTCAATGGCTCTGAGCACAGGTGAGTTGGGATGCTTTTAGAGGACAGAGTCCTGGGAAAGGATGCCCAGGGAGCTCCTGTAGTGAAGGATCATCCTCAGGATGGCTGGGCATCGAGCTCTTCAGAGGCACCCCCAGGTCCAGACATGGAGGTGGAGAAAGAAAAACTGGGGCCTGGGGAGCAGGTCCTATGTATTGGAAGAGCTGTAGAAAAGGCAGAGAGGATCAGAATGAGTCTGAATCTCTATAAGGAAGGATGAAAAAGGAAGAGATATTTGAAGAAAGAGTCAATATAAATTTCAGAGAGTTGTAAGGAAAGGAACGCTCTCAGGTAACAAAGACTCACAGGAGGCTAGGGAGTTGACTCAATGATCAGTGTTTGCTACGTGAGCAGGGACCGTGAGTATCCGAGTTTGGGTCCCGACACCCACATAAAAAGCTGGGTATGGCAGATCTGTATCTGGAATCCCAGTGCTGGGAGGAAGAGACAGGCAGGTCTCACAGACTCAGTGGCCAGTCAGCAGACTCTCCAGCCAGTGAGCTTTAGGTTAAGCAAGAGATCTTGTGTCAGAAAGTAGAGAAAGAAACTATATCAGTGCTTGCTCTCTCTCTCTCTCTCTCTCTCTCTCTCTCTCTCTCTCTCTCTCTCTTTCTCTCAATCTGTCTATCTCTGTCTCATTTTATCCCTCCATCCTTCTCTCCTTCCTTATCCCTTTCTCTCTCCTTATCTCTCTTACTCATTAAAGACATTGGAGAGAGAGAGAGAGAGAGAGAGAGAGAGAGAGAGAGAGAGAGGAGCCATTCCCACAGACACAGACACGCAGATGGACATCTGTAGATCTAGTTCCTGATTTGAGAATGTCAAGACCAGAACATTCTGGAAACTTAAAGATTATCTACAAAAGAACAAGAATGAGATTTCATATCAAATGTAATGAGATAGCTAAAGCCATCGGACCCCCACACACCCATGAGTAAGAAAGATGGTGAGATTGCAAAACATTAAGAAGATTTTTTAAATGAAGACCATAAAAACCTGTACATGTTTCTTTGAAAAGTTTTAGCACACTAGATATACTGCAGTCACGACCAAGATAATATATATATAAACACTCAGCACTGAGGAAGTAGAGGCAGGTGGATCTCTGTGAGACCAAGACCAGCCTGGACGACAGAGCAACTTCTAAGGTCAGGGCTATACAACCAGCTCTAAAAACCAGAACAGAAACAGAAAAAAAAAATCCAACCGACTTCTCCAAATCCAATAAACAATCAAGCAACAACAAAACCAGAAACAAGAAATGCCCCCAGAATCAAGCAACCATGAAGTCTCATTAAAAAGTTAGGCAAGGTTGTCAGGTGCAAGATCAACAAAGATCATGCCCGGGGTTAATTCCCAGCACTCCCGACAGGCTATAATTCTAGTTCCTGAGACCTGACATTTATTTCTGGCCTCTGTAGGCGTGCATATGGTATACATACATATGTGCAGGCCAAACATTCGTACAAAATATAAAATAAATAAACAAATAGCTACCTCTGAGAACAGTGCGGCACAGGTACAGGAAGTGAGCCTGTCGTACTCATGCCTGTAATCCCTGTATTGGGGGGTGGAGACTAGGAGATCAGGAGGTAAAGGTCATCCTGCCCCACACAGAGAGTCTGAGGACGGCCTGAGCTACATAAATCTCTATCTTTAAAAAAAAAGATGGAGGACCCTAATGAGAGGGACAGAGCACCAGGAGGGAGCATGTAAACAGATCTGTGGAAATGCAGGGACAGATTATAACATATAGTGATATCCATAAACAGTGGGGCAAGGTCTCGTTATTTGGAAGACTAGCTACATAACTTAAGAATGAACCCCAGCCAGGTCTTCTGCCACTGTACACAATGCTGAATCCTGGGCAGATTAAAATTGCATATCTATGAAAAATAAACCTAAGTTAATTTTTAAAAAGACGTGGCTGGGTGTGATGGTGCATGCCTTTAATCTCAGCACTTCAAAGGAAGAGACAGGGGGATTTCTGTAAGTTTGAGGCTAGCCTGGTCTACATTAACAAGTTCTAGGATAGACAGCACTACATAATGAGACCCTATCTCAAAAAAAAAGAAAGAAAGGAAGGAAGGAAGGAAGGAAGGAAGGAAGGAAGGAAGGAAGGAAGGAAGAAAGAGCAGATGAATATCTTGGTGAAGAGGAGGAGATATTTTTATTTTTATTTTTTACAGAAACATTAAAAATGTACATATGGGGGTTAAGTTAAATAAAGTACATGAAGGAGGGAGGGATTGCACTCAACAAGCAACATTATGGGAGATGTTTGCAAGCAGATGAGAGACTGAAGAAATTAATTAAAAGACAAACACGGCAGGGCAGTTATGGTCCTCAAATGGGAAAACAATGGCCAATCCAGTGGGACTAGGTAGACAACAAGGGAGATAACAGAAAATCTAAAAGGCAAACTTGTGTACTCACACGTGTCGATAAGTAAAATCTTCAGGAAGCACCACGTCACACCGTCACAATGAGCAAAGTGGTCAGGCATGAGCTCTGGTCCTGGGACCACCTCTTCCCAGCAGGTCAAAACATGGACCAGCTTGATGGCTTCTTAGCTAATGAGGTGAGGCAGTTCCTTCTCCCAGCTCAGTCCAGATCCCCAGCCAGAGGTTTTAACTCTTCCAATTGTGTGTCTTATAACCTGGTTTCCTCTCAGGCCCAGGGACCCCAGAGTTCCCTTCCAGATTGTGTTCATTGTCCCTTTGGACAATGGGTAGGTCAGTATGCACATAAACTCCAGCTACAAGGAAATGGCTTAGGATCACAAAGGAACAGGGGACATCCCAACCCAGGCTTCTCTATCTGCTTCCTGCCTCCAGAAACCAAAGTTCTTCCTCTCCTGGCCGGACCTCCCCGGGGCTTCTGGTCTTTGTGCAATATGGACTCCTCCTGCTCAAGGGCCTGATGCTATCAGTTTTCTGTGTGCTCCTTTGCTGGAGGCGTGGCCAGGTGAGTGGCCTGACTGGGGTGGGGCTGCTCTGTAGGGTCTGCCCAATGATCTATGACAACCGTATTTTCAGTTTCAAGTGAGTTTATTTATTACGTATACAGCAAGCCAAAGTAAAAACATATATACTAAATAGCAGAGAGATAGCAAACTATCATAAAACAAGGCTCTTAAAACATGTGGCAAAAAAGGGAGGAAGCCCCATTGAGGCACTAGTGAGAGTTTCCAAGAGACAGAGTTCCTGGCAGAGCCATCTTCCCTTGGGTGAGGCTTCAACAGAAGAACAAAGAAACAAACAGGACAGACACAGATACCATCAAATCAACCAGGAAAGTTGAAGCAGCCAGCTGGGTCCCAGATGAGCTTTGCCTTCATGGATGAGCTTCCCATGGCTGGAATTCCAGCTTCTCTGACTCTACACTTTCATACTGTGTGGTAAACAACAGTAACTTCTGCTAGAGACACTAATCTGGTGGTTTGAACAGAAATGGCCCACTCATGTGTTTGAATGCTTGGCCCATAGGGAGGGGCACTATTAGGAGGTGTGGCCTTGTTGGAGGAAGTGTGTCACTGTGGGGGCAGGCTTTGAGGTCTCCTATGTTCAAGCTACACCCAGTGTGGCATACAGTCTCTTTCTGCTATCTGCCCATCAAGATGTAGCACTCTCAGCTCCTCCAGCACCCTGTCTGTCTGCGTGCCGCCATGCTTCCCTACAAAGACAATAATGGACCAAACCTCTGAAACTGTAAGCTAGCCCCAATGAAATGTCATCCTTTATATATGAGGCTCTTCACAGCAATAAAACCCTTACTAAGATCATAACCTTCAGGCTGTGTTCTATAACACAGAAGCATGGTGTTTTCAGCTGTGGCCCGTTCTGCTGTTCTCTTCCTCCCCGTTTAAGGTTAGGTTGTCCATTCCCAGACAAGAGGCTTGGAGGGCACTTTGAAACAAACCTGCTATCTCAATGGAGCATGATGGACTCTTACTTCCAGAGGCAGCTCCTCAGGAAGCTCAGACAGCGCACGTGTATATATTAGTGTAACACATCACAGGGGCAGTAGAGCTGGGGTCACAACTCTCCCAGGGAATATACCTAAGAAGATGGATGGGTAAGATCTTAGCAGAGATAAATAGAAGTATCATTTCTTGGGCTCTCAGTCCATTCCTCAGAAAGCATCCTCTGAGGAGGAGAGAGGCCTAGGGCCCTTGTTAGAAATCAATCTCTCTCTCTCTCTCTCTCTCTCTCTCTCTCTCTCTCTCTCTCTCTC